ATTGAACTTGATAAGATTCATCGTTTCCTCGTCATCATCGAACTCCGTCTCCTCCTCACTCAGCTCTTCGTCATCCAGTAACACTGGCGACAATATGCATCTTGCTGTAATTGCTTTATTGAACTTCATATTTTCATAAAAGTTCAGGAATCACAACCGTGTCGAATAGTCAGTCGAAAAATTCGATGTTCTAAAATTTCTGAGATACAAATCTAGTTATAAAATCCCAGAAATTTCGCCGTATTCACTCCTGTGAATTGGGAAACAACCGAAGATAAAACGAGTGAATGGAATATGCCAATCGCAATTACAAAAGCTACTGACGATTCTTTCTTCCAAAGATTATTAAGCAAGTAGGATAAAAATACAATTTTACTCTTAAGTAAAATTTTACTCTTAATTTTACTCTTAACAATTTTACAATGTATCGTAAAAACGAAACGCAGAAAATGCGAGATGAGCAGAACAAATACAAAAAAATGCCGCCTATGCTACATACATATTTGTAATATATTCATTTATCTAATAAAGTAACAAATAAACTTCCCTTGTACTTTAGCCCTGTAAACGGCACTATTTCAGTAATCCAACTTTAAACAACGAAAGAAAAAGCAGAAAAACTGAGGCCAAGACAACGCGGTTGAAAACTAGATGAAGCCGATTCAGCTACAACCACAAAATAAATTGGGAACAGCGGCTGCAACCAAAGTGACAGCACTTTTCTATGATGAAAATTCCGTCGTAAAACTGTTGTCGATTCTTTCCTCACCGAATTTCATGAAAAAAGGTTTCGGCTGCTGGGTTGCCTTGCGAAGTGGTAAAAATTTTCAAATCCAATAAAATTACAGCGGCCATCTTTCAGTAAACGCTTTGAGAAACTTACCACCAAGTAGGGCAACAGTCCTTTCAAGCTGAGTTGCAAGCAATTCCTCACTCCACGCAGCATTTGTATAAGCTGAGTTTAACACACGCACCGAGCAGTGCAAGATTAGCTCATCTGAAAAACATTGGGCATAAATTTTTAAAATGCAAGCGGCAAAGTGCAGCCCTTAGCCTGTGGTGTAAGATCGAAGCTCTGTACTGACAGTCAGGATAAAAGTAAATTTTGTTCGTAGCCCTTTCACAACCACGTTAAAAATATGCTAAAACCAGCCCCCATCGAAATAAACCATGCAGGGCCAGCAGATTCGAAAAAAAAAGTGTACGTACGCACCGCTTCGTATCACTTCATGTCAGCCAGCCGATGACAAATGCGTAAGCAATTATCCGACTTCATTTAATCCCTTTTCATAAAAATACTGACAGATAGTAGCCACCCTAAACTTATATCACTTAATGGACCGAAATGTCTTATCTCACTCTTACCTTTTTTTCCCATACTGTCCTTTCTTGCCGTAAATTATCGCTCCTACGCCACTTAGGCCTCCAAGGTCAGCCTGACTGCTACAGTCGGTTTATCGTATTTAAGAAAGCACTTGTGAATGGGGCCAAAAAACATTCTAATTTTGAAATTTCACTGATCAAACACTTCAATCACATATACAATCATTCATCGAAATTTCAAGCTCAGAAGAGCAGTGGATACGGCCGACTTACGTAAGTAGTCTTCACAGGGCTGGAAAGCTGCATCACGAAATGCGCGAAAAGCACGATGAGCAAGTGAGGAGACAAGCGGTGATCTTAGAAGTGGTACTACCACACCGATCATCAACTGGACATGTTTTGCCGAGCCCAGTGGATCGCCTTCGATGGCAAATGTGAGCGGCTCGATGCGCTCTTTGCATTTCGCATACAGATCACGCATTTCATCACGAATTTTCTGAAATATTTCTCATTCAAAAATTTATCGTAGCGTATCCCCCTTTCCACCTTCCCTCCTCCCCCCATCTCGGTTGATGTGGTTCTAGCCTTGGCCTACAAGTGCCAGTGTTTGAAACGAATTAATGTTTTTTAACATAACAATTATGTTCGAAACGACTAGAGCTTTGCCAAATGCTTTTGTTAGAAGAATTGTTTGAGTTAGTAATCCCGTCAGGTGACGAAATGAACTTCAGGAATGCCAGGATGCTAACTATGCGTCAATGCATAATTTGTAAAAGCGACTGGAAAATTGCCAGTTTGAGAGAATCAGACTATAAATTACAGCTGACCAGACTATAAATTGCAGTTATTTGTGT